AAAACAAAACACACACACACACACAAAAGAGAAAGATTCAGAGCACTCAGTCTTGGCTCAGTTTAGAAAGTTATCAGAGCTATCTAGAGCCACAAACAAAATGAGCTACTTGGTAGAGCATGAGTTTCCTGACACTGGAGGTCCTAGAGTTGCAAACCTTCTGGTAGGATTTTGTAAAATCATAAGGGGTAGACCTGGGTGACCTTTAAGAGCTCTTCTGACCTAAGGCACAGGTGACCCAGTGAATTAGTGGAGCCCACAGGTCCTGAATCCCTGGCTACTACCTTTGTGTAAGGCCCCACTGGTTCTTCACAGCAACTGTTTTTCCCAGCCTGGCCCATGGCACTGCTCCTGCGGACTGGGGCATCAATCGTGTGTCTGGAACAGTTTTACTCACAATTCTTGGTGCAGAGGTAAGGAAGATAGGAGTGTTTTCAGATCTGGTGATTTCAAGAGCTGAGGCAGCATGCCAGGTTGATTGATAATGACCTGCAGAACTCTGTAATAACCCTCTGAGCTAAGCTGAGGCCTGGAAAGTAGGAATCCTCTTACCCCTAGAATGCTGCTGTCTGCCCTGGCTATCCATACTTCCTCTCAGTCTGAGGACTTATGACCTTGTTGAAAGGCTTTGGGGTGATAGAGGTGAGAACTTATTTAAAGGACTGGACCTCCAAAGACCCTAGTTAGTTGTCTATGGGTCGTGATCAAGGTGGCTCACCTATGAGGTCTCTATTAGAGTAGCCAACTAGCAAATGCCTTCTCAAGATGGTAACTGGGAATGTTGGTTCTAGAGGTTGCATCTGGATGGAATTTGCTCAGTTTCAGACTGGGACCTATATTAGAAGTTCATCGACCTCTGTCCAAGGCTGGCTGGGTCTCAGGAGCCTATAAGGAAAACTGAACCAGGCTTTGCATGGATGCCATTTGGAGGTCCCAGCCTCCTTGGGTTAAAAGCTACATGGATCTGCATGGAATTTCTCACCCATTAGCAGAATAAAGCTGGGAGGTGCCCCCGCATTTACTGAAGAGGAGATCATGTTCATTCCACCCACCTGAGTAGCTTGAATGTTCACATTTCCTTCTCTTAAGAGCTTCCAGACCACAGCCATGTCTTCACTGGTCTCCGCGGAAGCCAAGGGAGTGATCATTACGGCAGTGTAGCCAGCTTTGTTCTGATGGTCCACGTTGCAGACGCCTGCAGGGAAGCAATGGGTGCTGGAATGGCTCCTGAGGAGCCAGGAGCCAGATTCCACTTTAGCCATTTCAATGGGACACTGCTTGTGGGTTAGAAGGCCACAGAATAGAGCAATGCTTTCCACAGGTGGAGCCCGTGGTTTACATTTGTAGCAGTCTTTAAAGCTGGTTACTTTTCTTGACAAGTTTTCTGAGGCTACCCAGCAAGGGAGGTCCAAAACAAAGCCAGAGATGGCCAAAGGGCCAGTGGCCATGACTTCGTTTCCCAAACTGGAGCACAGGATGTTATTCCCATTTTACAGATGAGGACACTGAGGGCCAGGGAAGTTACATAATCCACTCATGAGAAGTGGGCGGGAAACACTCAGGTCTATCCGGCTCCAGAGCTCATCCCTCACCTGCCCCCATGTCTGGAATGCCACCCACGGCTGTGCGTTTTAGGTTTCACACTCACTAGCTCATGTTTGTGTGTAACTCTTAAACCGATGGCTGTGTTTGTAGGTCCTTTCTGAGGACCTAGGGGTCTACTGTGCCATGTACCAGAAGCATGAACACCATGGGATAAACATGGGAAATCTTCTAGGAACAACCATCTCACTTGAAAAATGGAGGGAGAAAAAAATTCCACAATTTTTATATTAAAACAATTAAGAATTACACTTCACAATACAATGAAAACCTGGCATTATTTGTTTACCTATTTATTTTTCTTGAGACAAGGTCTCACTCTGTCGCCTAGGCTGGAGTGCAGTGGTTCAGTCTCAGCTCCCACTGCAACCTCTGCCTCCCAGGTCCAAGTGATCCTCCCACCTCAGCATCTCAAGTAGCCTGTAGGTGCCCGCCACCATGCCTGGCTAATTTTTGTATTTTTAGTAGAGACACAGTTTCACTGTGTTGGCCAGTCTGTTCTTGAACTCCTGACCTCAAGTGATCTACCTGCCTCAGCCTCCCAAAGTGCTGGAATTACAGGCATAAGTCTCTGGACCCAGCCAACAACCTGGTGGTGGCGGTGGTTGTTGCTGTTGTTGTTTTGAGACAGTCTCGCTCTGTTGCCCAGGCTGGAGTGCAATGGCTCGATCTCTGCTCACTGCAACCTCCGCCTCCTGGGTTCAAGCGATTCTCCTGCCTCAGCTTCCTGAATAGCTGGGACTACAGGCATGCACCACCATGCCCAGCTAATTTTTTTTTAATGTATTTTTAGTAGAGATGGGGGTCTCACCACGTTGGCCAGGCTGGTCTCGAACTCCTGACCTCAAGCAATCTGCCTGCCTGGGCCTCTCAAAGTGTTGTGATTATTACAGGTGTGAGCCACTGCCCCTGACCAAACCTGGTATATTTTTAAGACTAAGTATAGCAAATGAGAATTCTTTTTTTTTCCCTTTTTTTTTAACCTTGGCATCTCGGCTGGGCGCGGTGGCTCACACCTGTAATCCAAACACTTTGGAGGCCAAGGGGGGCGGATCACCTGAGGTCGAGAGTTCAAGACCAGCCTGACCAACATGGTGAAACCCCATCTTTAAAAAAAAAAAAAAAAAAAAGCCTTGGCATCTCCTTATTATTATTATTTTTAACACACATCCTCACTGAAGAAGCAAATGAAATTCTAAAGAAAGTTCTGCTTTGTAGCCCTGGGGATATACATCCATATTCCTTTCCACCAAAGGAGAGGTAGGGGATCATCAAGCATAGACTGATACCTGTTATGTAAATGAGCCTACCTCTCAAGGGCGATAGAAAAACCAAACGTCTTTGTAGTGTTGCTTATCTGAAAAATTTATGTTGCTTTTTTTTTGGGTAGGGGGACAGAGTCTTGCTCTGTCTCCCAGGCTGAGGTGAAATGGTGCGATCATGGCTCACTGCAGCCTCGACCCCCTGGGTTCAAGCAGTCCTCCCTTATGTAGCTCCTTTGGGCAACAGAAAAACACTTACAGTAAATCAAGTCACTTAGACTTTCTTAGCATTTCCTCCTTAATAAAATGGGGATAACAACACAACCTAACTTGTAGAGTTATTGTGAAATGAATTGAGCTTATTTATTTATTCACTGGGACAGGGTTTGGCTCTGTTGCCTAGGCTGAGTGTGAGTGCAGTGGCGTGATCTCACTGTAAGCTCTACCTACCGAGCTCAAGTACTCCTCCCACCTCAGCCTCCTGAATAGCTGGAACTGCAGGTGTGTGTCACCATGCCCTACTATTTTTTGTGTGTTTTTTATAGAAACAGTGTTTCACCATGTTGCCCAGACTGGTCTCAAACTCCTGGGCTCAAGCCATCCACCCACTTTGGCCTCCCTAAGTACTAAGATTACAGGCATGAGCCACTGTGCCCAGCCTAATATATTTGAAGCACTTAGAACAAGCCTGTCCAACCCGCAGTCCAGGACAGCTTTGAATGTGGCCCAACACAAATTTATAAAGTTTCCTAAAACATTGTTTTTAGCTCACCGGTTATCATTAGTGTTAGTGTATTTTATGTGTGGCCCAAGACAATTCTTATTCTTCCAATGTGGCCCAGGGACATCAAAGATTGGACATCCCTGACTTAGAAACATGGCTAGTACACAGTAAACACTCAATAAGAGTTCACTGTTATTACTGTTATTGTCCAGAATGATATATATATTTTTTAAGGTGGACTCTCACTCTGTTGCCCAAGCTGGAGTGCAATGGTGCTGTCTCAGCTCACTGCAACTTCTGCCTCTCGGTTTCAAGCGATTCTCCTGCCTCAGCTTCCTGAGTAGCGGGGATTATATGCACCTGCAACCATACCCAGCTAATTTTTGTTTTTATTTTTAGTAGAGAGGGGGTTTCACCATGCTGTCCAGGCTGGTCTCGAACTCCTGACCTTAGGCGATCCACCCGCTTTGGCCTCCCAAAGTGCTGGAATTACAAATGTGAGCCACCATGGCTGGCCCAGAATGATATTCTTTTAAAGTTTAGGTATTCATTGTAAAAATCTGGTTTATGAAAAAGTGTCAATTAGGGCTATTTGCAAGTTCTATGTAAGTGGAAAAAAGCAACATTTGTTTGATATTCCCTCCACCCCACAATTTTTCAAACAATTTTTCAGAAATGTGCTATGATAACACGAGGCCATCAGTGGAGACAGAGGCATCAGTCTGCCTCATTTATCAGCAGTTTTCCCTCAAGCTCCTTGGACCACTGCCATGAGCCAGCAGGCGATGAAAGCTAAATAACAACTCCATGCATCACCTCATAGCTCTGTCCTGATACAGAAGCGAACATTTGCACTGCCTTGTGCAAATAAAATTTTTAAAATTTCTATCCCTTGACTATTTTATGTTTGCTTTTAAGATGTGTAAAGGAGGCCAGGTGCGGTGGCTCACTCTTGTAATCCCAGCACTTTGGGAGGCCAAGGCAGGTGGATCATGACACCAGGAGATTGAGACCGTCCTGGCCAACATGGTGAAACCCCATCTCTACTAAAAATACAAAAAAAAAAAAAAAAATTAGCGGGTCATGGTGGCGTGTGCCTGTACTCCCAGCTACTCAGGAGGCTGAGGCAAGGGAATCGCTTGAACCTAGGAGACAGAGGCTGCAGTGAGCCAGGATCGCACCACTAGACTCCAGCCTGAGTGACAGAATGAGACTCTGTCTCAAAAAAAAAAAAAAAAAAAAAAAAAAAAAAAAAATTTTAAAAAAAAAAAAAAAAAAAAAAAGTGTAAAGGAGCCTCAGAAACATGATTTTTAGCTCTCTAGAAACATGATTTTTAGTTTAGTAGAATGAGGTCTGATGCCTCCCCAGAGGCTCAGAAAAGGGCCTAAAAGGGGCTAAGGACCCAGGACATTATTTATTTGTTTATTTATTATTTTTGAGATGGAGTTTCACTCTGTTGCCCAGGTTGGAGTGCAGTGGTGTGATCGTGGCTCACTGTAACCTCCGCCTCCTGGGTTCAAGCAATTCCCCTGCCTCAGCCTCCCAGGTAGCTGGAATTATAGGCATGTGCCACCATGCCTGGCTAATTTTTGTACTTTAAGAAGAGATGCGGTTTCACCATTTTGGCCAGGATGGTCTTGAACTCCTGACCTCAGGTGATCCACCTGCCTTGGTCTCCCAAAGTGCTAGGATTACAGGTGTGAGCCACCGCATCCTACCAGGATCCAGGACTTTACCGCAGATGCTTCAGAGCAGCCATCAGGCAGCAAAGCCCACCCTCCCTGGAGGTGACAGAGGAGCGAGGCTCTCACCAGAGCATCCTCTGACTCAATATGCCCTGCAAGGGCATTTGGCAAAATGAAGGACGCACCATTTGGGATTAAGCTGGCAGAGGTGTACTCTGGCTCTATTCTCAATAATAATGAGTCACTTCCATACAGCCCTTTACAGTTTATAATGTTTTTTTCTGGACGCTTGACGACCGCCTCTAAGGACAGCCCAGGTTTGGGAATGTGACAGATCCGTCATCCTCAACATCTCTTCTACAGATGATAGAAAGTAATGACTCTGTCAACCCATTCTCCCCAACCCCCTTCTTACTTTACCTTTATGGCTATTTACCTATTTCACTATGTTAAAGGGAAAAGCTTCCAGACCACTTTAAAGTTGATGAGTATTAACTGGATTCTTCACATCAGCAGATATTTATAACACCCAAATTTTAGTTGTTTCTTCTCTGTCCTGGCCTGGCCCACCCAGAAACTTCTAACAGGCTGCAAGTCTATGCGCTACTTAAAGACAAGGGCCATACATTACTGGTCTTTGGATTCTTCACGCACATAATGGGTGTTTCCAAAGTCTCACAGTGTCCCAGAAGCCTAGATTGTGGTAGTAGAAAAAGCCCAGATTCGGAGGGTGACACATCTCAGTTTGAATATGGATTAGCTTCTTACAGGCTCTGTGACCTTGACTGCGTTACCTGACATGTCAGCCTCAATTTCCTCACTTGGAAAAGGCAATCAAGATCTGCTTCACAATTCCTGCAAGGATTGTACACGACAGTGTATGTATATCACACTAAGCCCAGTGTCTGGGATGAGGATAAC